AGGCAGTTCAGGGTGACTGCAGGGGTTTAATGGACATCATGACATAATACTATAACTGCATTTTGCTGCCACCGAGTTATCGTGGTCAGTCTGCTATAATAAAGGTAAATGAACAAGTCAATTTTGTGTCCATAAATATTATTTATATTCATACTATATATATTTATTCTCACTTTAATTATTTATATATTTGCATATCTGAATATATGCAAAATCATGTATTTTATTCTTTGCTGAAATATCAGTCTAGAGAATTTGGAGATAAATAGCTTAAAAGGGCAAATATTATGAAATCTGGACTGGGGCCTGAATGCTATAATTTTTTAAGGGTGCAGTGTATAAAAAATATCTCTGTGGCCTTAACTATCAGGTCATTCCCTGGTAACAAACTGTGACTATCTCTATTTTCCGCTTGTTACAACTTATAATAAAGTTGTTACATCTTGGCTTAACATGTTTATGACGTATTAGAATGTTGTTACAACTTGTTATATTGGTGGTTATAACTGGTTAGGTGTTAAAACTTGCTCGAACGTTGTAGCAATGTCTTAGTTTCGGTGTGTGTTTGGTGGGTTGCTTTTACATTCTACAGGGATTGGCTAAGCTGGGTGTTTTAGCAGGAATTTATGACATTATTTAAATTTTGCTGATGGTTTCATTACTTTTCATGCCAGTTATACTGTACATATAATTCATATGAATAAAATTAAGGAAAGAAGAGTGCATAAGTTTGGTTAGTGATAATACGGTTAGGACAGAAAAAAAAACAAGATTTTATTTGTCTGTATTACATAATGGTGATGAAACATTTATTCCTGAGACCTTTGTATAGCCACCTTTGTTGCTGTATATTCAATCTAATAAATAGATAAACAAATAAAACTATAGGAAACCATGAGATTTAGCAGGTTAATCTTGTCAACTCTTGGCTGCGTACTTAAAAAAACTAATCTTACCTTATGTAAACTGACGTTTTGTTTTATTTTTATATTTTTTCAGTGTGTGAAATGGGAGGAAATGTATGTCACAACAACTATGATTGAGATGGAGTTGGGTTGGAGGGGGGCGGGGGAAAAGATGAGCAAAAACGTCGCTCAACAACTCGCACTACATTATAGTACTGCTTGTTACGTTATTAGTTGAACATAATTTATCACTGATACCTGTAAAGATCTGTATAAAAATATAGATTTGGTAACATTTTACTTTTTGGGAAAGTACGTAAGACAATTAGTGTACTGTACAATTAGTGTACATATCATTTGGAAATAAACAATAATTACATAACACCAAATAGATATGATCAAACCTTTTGAAATCCTTGGTAACCAGATAAAACAACTTTTTCCAGAGAGTTAATACTACTTTTTTTATGATTATTAAAATAAGACACAGAATAACTGAAATGGGCTAAGAACTGATTTAACCCAAGCCTTGCCTTGCTGACCTTGCTGTATCTAACATAGCCAAGCTGTAACTAATAACTTAATCTAACTTGGCCAACCTAGCTTAAGAAATTGTTGTTTTCTGTATGCAAGTTTATGTGACTGTTTATGAACTAGAGATAATATTTTATAGAGTTATTTTTATATTCAGTACTTGTAACAATTAGGATGCACAAGAGTATCACTCACTTTGCATGATCTTTAAATATACTGACTATGAGTATCTATGTGTCGCATACTGTACTTTAACCCTTACTCGGCTCTAACTGCCATATGTGATTTTTCCCATTTGTTTTGTAGACTTGTTTTCCCATAGTCGTGTGCAGTTTAGCAGTTAGTGAAGGACACGGTGTTGGCAGTGGCTTGCTAATGCAGTATGTTCGCTTTGGTATTGACATGATGTTTTCCTGAAACTGTGTGTGTCTACCTAAATGTGTTAAAGGCATTTTATAATATACTTTGCATCTTTATAAGTATTTTCAATGATCATTATTAAAGAAATGATTTCAAACTGTACTGAAAATGCTTATTGCATAATTCTCTCTTGTGGGATGATAATCTTACTGGTGTCATCAGATTGCTCAGTTGTTTTCTGACTGGTATCAGCTAAATAAGTAATAAATTACCCTCTTGCATATCATCCTAATAGATAACCACTTTGTGACGAAGTCTTTGTTATTAGCTGTTTTATGGAACTTTGTCATTAATTTGAGATTAAAGCCTCTTGCTTTACCTATTGCTAGCTTTCATTTTTATTTTATACATTTTATACTTTTATATGTTTGTTTTTAGTTATCACAGAATTTTCTCTAGTCATTTTCAGTATTTTCAGTTATTGTTCATAGTTCATGTATCATAACTATAATTCATTTATTGCATGTCTATTCACTTTTTGTATTTTATCAGTATGTTTCTTCCAACAGGTACTATAAAATGAACACATTCCAATTTAGGTTTTAATGTATGCTGTGAAACTCCTTAAAGGGATTTACTGTATTTGACTCTTCTTTAATTCCATTCCATGACATTTGTCTTCATTAAAATCTGTCCCAAATTTTTGTCTACATTAGCCCGGAGTACTGTATTATGAAAAGGCTTCAACTTGTAGGTGTGTGAGTTTTCTCTGTGTAGTTATCTAAGTACAGTTTCAGGAGGAGAACTTTGCAAGTGGTGTCCTGTTTTTCTTATACCACTAGTCTTTCTTGAGGGAGCCCTTCTGGCTCCATGAAACTATACACTGAGGAGGTTTGTATCTACTAGGTTGCATCAGCCATGGAGTTTTGCACTGTATTGTATACACCTACTGGGGACCAGAGTCAGAACCTAGGCCCCCCTCCCCCTCCCTTCAGAGGTGCAGGGAGTAGTGATGTTTTGCAACCTCACCAGGGAAGGCAACCAAAAAGTCAGTGTGTCAGTGGATTCAAGAGACCAAAACCTCAAAACCTGCCCAATGAACTCCCCCAACTACTGTATGTACTGTATGTAAACAAGTGATCAAATTCTCTTGAAACGAGGACAAGCTCATTCACCCTCCACCACCTCCACTCATTCGTGGGAAGAGAGAAATAGCTCACCGTCTGGCTGGGTCTGAGCTGTGAGTTCTAATGCTGATGTAATGATTCTCGGGTGGCCTATTCTCCGTGCTGGCTCCTCTGTCTGCTTCAGAGGAGGCAATGAATAAATGCCATGTTATGGAATGTGGAATCTGGGAAAATAGACCACACACAACTTACAAATTATGTGGAAAGGAATTAAAGAACTTTAATCAAAAGCAAGATCTAGGGGTGGTTTTGGATAGTAAACTATCACCAGAGGTGAACTTTGTGTTCACCAGAGGAACACAAAAAGAACATTGTGAGAGGAGCATATGTGTCACTTTCCAACTTCGTACTTACTTTTAAGTAAATGGATGGTAAAATACTAAAGAAACTGTTCATGACTTTTGTGAAACCAAAATTGGAATATGCAGCAATTGTATGGTGCCCATACCTCAAGAAACACATCAATAAACTGGAAAAGGTGCAAAGGCATGCAACAAAATGGATTCCGGAACTGAAAAACAAAGAGTTCCAAGGAGAGGCTAGAGGCGTTAAATATGCCAAAACTAGAAGATAGAAGAAAAATAGGCGATATGATCACCACTTACAAAATAATAACAAAAATCGACTAAATTGACAGAGGAATTCCTGAAACCAGCAACTTCAAGAACAAGAGCACACAGATTCAAGTTTAGGAAACAAAGGTGAAAACAAAAATATTAGAAAACTTTATTTTTGCTGACTGAACTGGATGGTGAATTGGATGGTGAGAAATACTTGAATTTGGTATTCCAGCTTTATTCAGCTTGGTTCCATACATGATATCCAAAATAACACAGATCAATCGACTTGAGAATGGTCCAGGACGGACCGAAACGTCACCGTCCCTTCACCTTCTAGTGTGTGGTCTGGTCAACATACTTTAGCCACGTTATTGTGACTCATCGCCTGCATACAGATCATGGGTATTGGAAGGGAATTACAAATCATTATAACAATGAACCCTACAACAAGAACAAATTAATATAATCTAACTTATAAGAAATTTAGAAATACAGTATCACACTGACCTTCTAAAGATGCTTTCCTAGTGGGGTGGCAGAGTGTCGTCTGTTCATTGTGCCTCTGTGAGGGGTGTCAGGTTCTAGCTCTTGTCCCTGATAGGCCAAACAACTGTATGGCTGATGTGAGTTAGTAGTTGGGAAGCCTCTTAGTAATAGCTTCAGGAAGCCACCGGGGCTCACCCAGAAAAAAGCATTTCATTACATTCAGCACTGGATTTTTTACACAAGTGGGTACAGGAGTAAAAAACGTCTGCCTTTTATTAGCAGACTTAGAGCTTTTCCTTGCTTGAGCTCATCATGTCTTACCTTACTTGTTTTCTCTGAAACACAACTTGCCAATCGGTTTTAATTAGTTCCCCAATTACTGATTGGTAAACAGTTTCAAACAGTTAAGGAGCAGTGCCCAGTAGACCCTAAAAGCACTCTTAATGCATGAGGGAAGTATGGTACCACTGTGACTTGTATAGAGAGCCCAATTCTGGTCCAGGCTCCAGGTAGACAAAAGTGACCTGGTGCTTCTCCCTTGGACCTGGCTGAACTTGCGCTTAGTTCAAAGAGCTACTGAGAACTCCACCAGAAAAGGCATTTCATTACATTCAGTGCTAGATTGTAAAATAATACAGTATTTGTATAGTATATATTAATAAAATATTAAATTAAATATTAATAAAAAATATGAAATACTGAAAATTCTACAGGTAAGAAACGTTTTAACAGTTGCTTGAGACATATTCAGTACCAGCAGTATGCCTCATTCACTGATTGGCTCTTGGGTATGTTTATATTAACTAGCAGCTTTTATCGGAGCTATATTGCTTTTCGTGTAACGTACTGTAACACGAGAAACTACACAAAGACAGGAGAACTGAGAAAGAGAAAGACAGTGTTTAGTATTTATTTTTTGAAGTATTTTTATATATTTATGAATACAAGATATCTCTTTCTCTCGGCAGGTATGGGCACTTCTCTGGAATTAATCGTAAAGTTCAGTTAAAGTATCAACCACGAGGATGGAAAAGGCGTTCCAGTAGTGAGGAAGGTATGGCAATATCACTATACTGTAATACTTTTCTTAAGTGTGAAGGTTTTATATTTGAGGGTTAAAATATTCTAGCAGCATCAGAGCCAAACATACCATGAGGGAGATTTAGCTCCCTTGTTTTTATGATCTTTTATTTCTATTTTGCCATTATGTAGGTAATGAAACCTGTGTTTGTGCATTATTTAATTGGGCTGTAGTTTAATTACAAAAAGATTGCTATGCTTGTGGTACTCTATCCTTTTCATATAATTTAACAACCTTTATGTGCTTCTTTTTCCTGAGATGAGTATCTTTATGATGCAACTTTAGAGAATCTTATGTATTCTAAGATACTGTATTTACTTTTCATGCGCCAGTGTTAGTGTGGTTGATTTTTATTGCCCTGCAGTCTTTTTAATCCTTCGTGGCAACAGCCAGACCTGGTAAAAAAGATACCGGAACCCCTCACGGCAGCCAGTCCAGCTGAACGTGCCTACTGCAAAGGTCCCATGATCAGGAAACAGTGTCACGTGAACAGGCACTGAGACCAAGCCAACATGAAGAGGTCCACATCCAGGCATTCGAATGGCTTGCAAAGCCATAAGAAGGAGGCAGCATTGACGATCCACTCTGATAAACCTAGATAAATTATCTGCAAGGATATTGGACACACCATGAACATGAATCACATGGAGAACCAAACCCTAAGAACCCAGCAGAAGAGATACTTAGAGAGTAGATCCACAGAGACAAGGACCGAAGTGAAACCCTCCAGGTGAGACAGTGAGCCATGGAGAAAACTCTGAATGGAGCTGAATCACTGAGCTCCTGGAGGAATCTAAACTCTGCAGTGCATTCCACATGGCCGTAAACTACTGCCATACTGTGTGCCCGATAAAGGAGTACACTTAACAACAAAGATCAGCCCCCAGAATACCTGAAAGGAATTGTGCCACTGGGGCTCATATATTTGTATATGCATGACGCTTTACACCAGTGAAGCAGAGGGTGCACCAGGGCTTTAGAGAAAACAAGGTATCGGCCACTAGTCAGGACAACTCGGGAACTTTGCAACAAACCCAAGATCAGGACGAGGACCTGCACTCAAAAAAGCCTTTGACAGACTCCTACATAAGAGGCTGTTCTGGAAACTGGAACATAGTGGAGGATTGATAGGGAGTCTTCTAACATGGATGAAACAATTTTCAGTTCACAGAAAAATGAGGGCAGTAATCGGAGGCAATATAACACTGCAGAAATGTTGCTAGTGGGGGTACCACAGGGTTCAGTTTTTGCACTGGTAATGTTCATTGTATACATAAATGATCTACCAGAAGGAATACAAAATTATAAGAACATGTTTGCTGATGATACCAAGATATTAAGGAAGGTACGAAAATTCAACGATTGTCATGCCCTTCAAGAAGATCTGGACAAAATAAGTGCATGGAGCACCATTTGGCAAATGGAATTTAATGTGAATAAATGCCATGTTATGGAATGTGGAATAGGAGAACATAGACCCCACACAACCTATAAATTATGTGCGAAAACTTTAAAACATTCTATAAAAAAGAGATCTAGGGGTGGTTCTAGATAGTTTTCTGTCACCTGAGAACCACATAAAGAACATTGTGCGAGAAGCCTAAGCTACACTTTCTAATTTCAGAACTGCTTTCAAGTACATGTATGGCAAAATACTATAGAAATTGTTCACAATTCCTTAAATTGTTAGTCTTTTGTTAGGCCAAAGCTGAAATATGCAGCAGTTGTATGATGCCCCATATCTTAAGAAGCACTTCAACAAACTGGAAAAGGTGCAAAGAAATGCAATTAAATGGCTCCCAGAACTGAATAAATATATATATATATATATATATATATATATATATATATATATATATATATATATATATATATATATATATATATATATATATATAATATATATATATATATATATATATATATATATATATATATATATATAAGTAAAAAAATTTATTTCATGATTTGTTTCTCATACTATAAGATGGACTTCTTTGTCACACTGGGTAGGAGATTCTCCAAGAGAACCATCACTTGTTCTTATCCTGAAGTGGGGAGGAGAGCTCACCCCAGCCGGGCGTGTTCAAGCAGAGGAGTTTGGCCGAATCTTTCGATGCATGTATCCTGGTGGCCAAGGTACTGTAGTAATTTTGTTTCCTTCATCAGATTTAAGTTACTGTACTGTACTTTGATGTAAATTTTTTACTGTGCATGATTAATGTTTGTTATTTTTTATATACAGTATAGTACTAAATACTTTTTTTAACTTCATCTCACCTGTAATTGCTTTGTTTATATATTTTCAGTGAATTTTTTGTATGTGCTTCTCAGTAATGGCAAATTATTGTTCTGTATTACCTTTTACATACAGTAAAATCTAGTCCCTCTTGAAGTTTCTCATGCAGCCATATTACACTGTAGTACTACAGTAGTTCAGTTGAATGTAATACATGATCTGTGGTAAAATAGTTGCTCAAATGCTGTGTAGTGTATTAATAAGTTGTATTTCTGTTTCAATCACATTACACTGTAGTACTACAGTAGTTCAATTGAATGAAATACATTATCTGTGGTAAAGTGGTAGCTCAAATGCTGTGTAGTGTTAATAAATTGTATTTCTATTTCAAAGAACCTTGGTGCATTTTGATTTGATGGTTTTGGATTATTTGTTAATGATTATTATTAAGTAGATTTTGCCAAAAAGTATAAACAAAATAAAAAAATGTTCACACACACACACACACACACACACACACACACACACACACACACACACACACACACACACACACACACACACACACACACACACACACATTTAATTTTAATTACTTAGGTAATTACACAGATAATATAAGAAATATTAGAATAAGGATAAGGATAATAAGGGAAGGATAAGAAATTTAGATGATTGTCATGCCCTTCAAGAAGACCTGGACAAAATAAGTATATAGAGCACCACCTGGCAAATGGAATTTAATGTTAATAAATGTCATGTTATGGAATGTGGAATAGGAGAACATAGACCCCATACAACCTATATATTATGTGAGAAATCTTTAAAGAATTCTGATAAAGAAAGAGATCTAGGGGTGGTTCTAGATAGAAAAATATCACCTGAGGACCACATAAAGAATATTGTGCAAGGAGCCTATGCGATGCTTTCTAACTTCAGAATTGCATTTAAATACATGGATGGCGATATACTAAAGAAATTGTTCATGACTTTTGTTAGGCCAAAGCTAGAATATGCAGTTGTTGTGTGGTGCCCATTTCTTAAGAAGCACATCAACAAACTGGAAAAGGTGCAAAGACATGCTACGAAGTGGCTCCCAGAACTGAAGGGCAAGAGCTACGAGGAGAGGTTGGAAGCATTAAACATGCCAAAACTAGAAGACAGAAGAAAAAGAGGTGATATGATCACTACATACAAAATAGTAACAGGAATTGATAAAATCGACAGGGAAGATTTCCTGAGACCTGGCACTTCAAGAACAAGAGGTCATAGATTTAAACTAGCTAAACACAGATGCCGAAGAAATATAAGAAAATTCACCTTCGCAAATAGAGTGGTAGACGGTTGGAACAAGTTAAGTGAGAAGGTGGTGGAGGCCAAGACCGTCAGTAGTTTCAAAGCGTTATATGACAAAGAGTGCTGGGAAGACGGGACACCACGAGCGTAGCTCTCATCCTGTAACTACACTTAGGTAATTACTTAGGTAATTACACACACACACACACGTATGCATAAAGCAAAGATATGCAAAGAGAAACTTCAATGCCAACTCAAATAGAGGAGGTTAATAAAGAACTTGAAAAGTACGAAGAAGAAATTAAAGAAACATATGTGCAAGTTATAAAGGAGAGAGAGAAACTGTCAAGGAAATGTGGTTAGAAGTCAAAACCAGAAATGAACAAGAAGAAGCAGAAATTAAGACAAGCAGTTAGGAAAGAACTAGTTACCAACAGTAAATTAGTACAAAACACTGCAGATAGAAGTAAGTGTGGGAACCGACCTGTGAGATTTATATTTATTTAATTTATATGAATTTATATTTACGTTAATTTATATACTTCGATAGCAATTTGTATAATGATAAGTGGACTGTATTTCTGCAATAATCTCATAATCTCACAAATCGATCCTCTACACATTAGGGGGGTTTATATTTATATGTATGCAGCCAATCAAACTACAGTAACTACATACATTGAAGAGGTTCCTTATCTTATAGTACAGCAGGTTAGTCCACCAGGTATAACTAGGGTGTAGACACCAAATTATCCTCTTTGAGGTAGCTTCCATATCACCCAGTAACTGGTGCACAAATCTTGCATCCTCGTCTTGACCTGTCAAAAGTGCGCTAGCTGTGAAGCCAGATACCTATATATGACAAGTATATCAGAGAAAACAGTACATGGAACATGAAGACCTGGCTTAATTACCTTTAGTTTGAGGCTTCCATGTGATCTAACCGGATAACCCTACCCAATGACATTAATGGCCACTAATGATAGATAATGGGTTTCGGATAGACACTTAACTTGAATTTGTAGACAGCGTGTTGACAATGGTACACTTCTGGTTTCCATAACACTACGTCCAAGTAAAATTAACAGGAGCCGAATTTGCTCCTGTGTGAGCCTCTGGTCTCGTATAACAATGATGGCTGCCCCTTCCTCCTCACTCTGACGCCTGGCTTACATTGTCCACATTTCAGAAAGTGATAGAAGGGTCACATTTACTCTACTTTAATATTGATAATTAAGTTAATTTATATAAGATGTTTTTATGATGGTAAAGTCCAAAGACTAATGTATTTAAGAATAATTCCCAGCAGAATAGCTGGTGAATTATAATAGTATGTGGTGATGATATCCCGTTTTCTATAGACGGTAATTCCACTACAAGTTACGTTTTCTATGGGTAACTTGTTGGTAATACAGTTATTATCTGTATGATTATTAAATGGTGTCGGATTTTCCGACATAATTCCCCAGGGGGCTGCTCACGGGTCGAAGTCCTATTTAGAACAGACGAACACCGATACTCCTCCTTCGAATTATTACATTAATTTGATGTTAGTAGTTAGTAATCACACATTTGTGCGTCTGTTCGTACAGGACGGATGTCCCGTACTAGAGTTGCAAGGGTTAGAAGTCTAATGCGATTTCATTTCCCTGTCAACTCTTGAAAGGCTAATATTCAAGCCTTATTACATATTATTTAACCCAGAAGACTGGATGTGATCAAGTACTACAGTCAAGTATGATTCAGGGACTGCAGTGAGATCAGTGACATTAGATATAACTTGAAGTTTGTTCAGGTAACTGGTCACTGATATATAAACACTGAGGCCCATGGAATACATCTTGATTAAATAATAAATGTATCAAATCAGTCATCAGATTTACTGGGGTTTAATTTAATTAATTGATTCAGAGGATTGAATAGCTCATCATTAAAGTAAAGTATGGTTCTGAGACTGCAGTGGGTTCAGTGACATTGGTCGCAGTGACTTGTAGCTGTTTTAGGCTACTGTTCACTGATTTGCCACTGAGGCCTCATGAACTCATCTTCAGCTTTAAATGATGATACTAACATCAACCTCTGTTGGTATAGTCAGCTGTAATCTCCTTAGTATAATGCTACTGGAGAAATATAATCAGCTGACAAATTTAGATTTCTACTGGTATTGTTTATCTGCAGGCATAGGTCTCCTCAGGCTTGATACTGGGCCTGAGAGTAATTTACCTCCTGCAGAGTTTAACATGGTTATACCCTGATATTTAGTAGGGCTACCGATGAATCGATGACAATAGTCTGTCCCAACAAGGAGACCGAAGTCAGTGAGGTGATCAGACTTAATATTATCTGCCAATTTTATTCCTCTATTTCTCAGGAATTTGGCTGTTGCTCTCAGACCTTGAACTTGTAGGTCTACTGGTATTTTGTCCACCACAATGGCTTGTACTCGACAGACGTACCTGCCTAAGCGTACTGATGGTTGTACCACCTGGTAGACTTGAGGTCCTGCATCTGTTACAAACCCTGAGATGTTGAATGACATCTGGGCTACAGGCCTTAATTGTAGTTCATCTGCCAACCTTTTAGTGATATATGTTCTCTGGGATCCTTGGTCAAACAACCCTCGGGTATGGACCTTGGCCCTCTTATTCAGGATGGTAATTTGGGCAGTAGGCAAAGTCGTATTACCTTTAGACTTTGCCGATTGGACACTCTTTGTTTGTTGCACCTTGCAGTACTGTACTGTGGTGGGAATGCTATCTTCCACCTTGGGTCTTGAATACGTTAATTTCGTATATTTGCACAGTGCTGCATGGTGCCTACCTCTTCTACACCTGTTACAGGTGTTGAATTGGGTATCACAATAGTCTATGTTGTGTGACTTGAGACACCTCGAACATCTCCCTAATTCCTGGAGTCGCTCAATACGAGTGTCTCTGGTTGGATAATTAGCACAACGGTATGTTGAATGTTTCTTTTTGCAGAACATACATGTCCCCCAGCCTACTGCACGTTTGGAAGTTACCGGTTTGGGTGAACTAGTAACAGTAGGCTTGGAGGATGCTGCTGCATTGTCAGATTTTCTGCAACTTGATGTTTGAGTAATTGGTTGATGTTTATTTGGGGTGGTTGTTTTACCCTTTAATTGACTATTATTTTCTATTTCTGAAGGCTTGCAAGAGGCTTTAACTTCCTCATTTGCTCGTCGTTTGTTTATGATGGAATGTAAACCTTCAGTGATGTCCTGTACTGTCAGGATGGTGTTATGTTGATGTGCATATAATTCATCTAGTATATCGCTGGACAATTTTCGTTGAAGGACTACTTTGGTCATCCATTCACTAGTAGTTATATCAACCTTAAGACTGAATATTCTTAGTAGTGACTCAAACTCCATGCTGAAGGATTGTAATGAGTCAGCAGTCTGATCAGGTTGAGGTAAATCCAGCAATTGTAGTACTAGATGTATGACAGTTTTCTCATTGCCAGCATTATTCCTAGGAGGCTGGACTGGGAAATTAGTGCTGTCGCTATTTTCATTTACATTTTCTACTATTGGTTCAGCTTCACCTCTAGTTTGGAGGCATGTTAATTTAGTAGCCTCAGG